TTTACACTGTACTAAAAGTGTTATTATTATTGTTGTTGTTGTTGTTATTATTATTATTATTATATTAACATGGAAAGGAAATTATTCATACTGTAATAAAAGTATATTATTATTATTATTATTATTATTATTATTATTATTACGATTATTATTATTATTATTATTATTATTATTATTATTATTATTATTATATAAAGGTGTACTAAATTAAATATCACACATTTTAGAATTATACAGATAAACTAATACCTTATTTTGTCGCCAATTTGAAACCGGCTAAAATAAAGCAATAATAATCATTATGTCAATAATTATTATACTTATATATTTTACGATACTATATATATGTTTATATATTTAAAAATATTATAGATTATTATACCGTATTTTGGGGTTTAATATGCGTAAAAAATGTTTTCTATAAAAGTTTAATTTCTTACCAATTTAGAATTAAACTATTGCCTTTCATTTGTGTACAAATGTTTTCATTTGTTGGGATTAAAAGTCAGGGTTTAGACCGGTTATCCACCAAATAATGCCTTCTTTACTCTTCCGAAGTTGAAAGTAAATCAATATACAATATAAAAAATAATTATTAGTTATAATAAAATTAAATAGTTGTTAAAAAACTCAAATCACCCAAACACCTTTAATCAATAAATTTATCTGGATACCTTTAATCCAAGTCGTGTTTGTCATATTATTATTATTATTATTATTATTATTATTATTATTATTATTATTATTATTATTATTATTATTATTATTATTATTATTAAAAATCAGTCAGACATAATTTTATGAAGAGGCAAGTGTCGCGCCGTGACTGCTGATGCCATTGGATAATCTATACGTTACGTCTCTCCCTCCTTTTACCCGATTGGTTACCACTGAACACCTTAAAGCCTAATACGTTAATTCCGCTGTCACTCAAAATTCTGCCCCGCCTACCAGGAAATCACAGGTTAGTGTGTGCAATGCGGAATGAAGATGTCCTTCCAAACCAGGAGAAAGTGAGTGTGCGCTGCTTTTTATATGTTTAACATTTAATACCGCATGTAAAGCAGCATGTGTGTGTTTAAACTTCTCTTCATTTTAAGACCATGTGGATGTTTATATGACTGGAAAGTGTCTTACATGGGCTGGTGTGTGTGTATGTGTGTTGAGCTAAGCTAATGTGTTGCTGCTGTTTAAGGACAAGCTCTCATACAGAGACTGTTTATTCATGAGTGAAAGTTTATTATGTTAGCATAATAGTAAAATCTACAAATAACAATGAATTAGCGTAGTGAATTAAGCAGTTACTGTATTGCTAGTGACTTCTCATGTACATGTATGATGGAGTGGCTTATGTTCAGTTCTTATCATAAACTATATTTCCCGAAATTATGATAATATCTCCGTTATTAATATTTCAAAAGGAAAAAAAAAACTTGCATAAGGTTTATATGTGTGTGTGTGTATATATATATATATATATATATATATATATATATATATATATATATATATATATATATATATATATATACACACACATACATATATATATATATTTTTTTTTTTTTTTTTTTTTTATATAAAAAAA